AGGAGGCTGGGAAGCCGGTGCGCAAGGCTGGGAAGCCGGTGCGCAAGGCTGGGAAGCCGGTGCGCAAGGCTGGGAAGCCGGTGCGCAAGGCTGGGAAGCCGGTGCGCAAGGCTGGGAAGCCGGTGCGCAAGGCTGGGAAGCCGGTGCGCAAGGCTGGGAAGCCGGTGCGCAAGGCTGGGAAGCCGGTGCGCAAGGCTGGGAAGCCGGTGCGCAAGGCTGGGAAGCCGGTGCGCAAGGCTGGGAAGCCGGTGCGCAAGGCTGGGAAGCCGGTGCGCAAGGCTGGGCAGCAGGTGCGCAAGGCTGGGCGAATGCCACTGAATTTGTTCCCGGGCAACCGTACTGGGGCCGCGAGGCGTTCCCCGCCCCCGAGCTTCCCCAGCAGAACTTGGAGATGGAAAGGGAGCGGCGGCTCTGCCGCGACGCCGCCATGGGGCAGTGCTTCCGCGGGGAGAGCTGCGCGTATCTCCACGGCGAGCTATGCGAGCTGTGTGGGCGGCAGGCGCTGCACCCGGCGGACGCCGCCCAGAGGGCAGACCACATCCAGGCCTGCATGAACCGCCACCAGCAGGACATGGAGCTGTCCTTCGCCGTGCAGCGCAGCGCCGACAAAGTGTGCGGCATCTGCATGGAGGTGGTCTACGAGAAGGCCAACGAGGGCGAACGCCGCTTCGGCATCCTCTCCAACTGCAACCACACCTACTGCCTCAGGTGCATCCGCACGTGGAGGACGGCCCGGGAGTTCAGGAGCAGGGTGATCAAATCCTGCCCGCAGTGCAGGGTCTCCTCGCGCCTGGTCATCCCCAGTGAGTTCTGGGTGGAGGATCCGGCGGCGAAGCAGGAACTGATCCGGCAGTACAAGGAGGCCATGCGCGCCAAGACCTGCAGGTATTTTGCTGTAGTCAGGGATTGCTGCCCGTTCGGCGAGAACTGTTTTTACAGGCATGCGGAGCCCGAGGGCCAGGGAGAGCAGGTGGTGGTGGAGGAGGAGCAGGAGCAGGAGCAGGAGCAGGCGCAGGAGGAGGAGCAGGAGCAGGAGGAGGTGGAGGAGCAGGAGGAGGAGGAGGAGCAGGAGGAGGAGGAGGAGCAGGAGCCTGAGCCTGAGCCTGAGAGGCAGGGTTCTGGGGCCTCGAGCAACCAAGAGTTGGAGCCTAAGCAGGTGGGAGAGGACAGCATGCCCTTTATCCACCGTCAGCGAGAGCTTGTCACGCTTTGGCTGGTCAGTCTGTGGTTGTGTAAGTGTTTCCTTTCACTGGGAGAGAATGAGCCTCCTTTTTATTTTTTTAATTTATTTTTTTTTATTTTTGTTGTTCCGAGAACCCGTGGGGACATGCTTCCTTGGGAAGGAGCGGGGAGGCTGGTGGGGGGGAAAAAGATTGCAACTTGAATCTGTGGCATGTGGTGTAGTGTGTTCACTGCTTCTGTGCTGACGCTCTACCATCCGCTGTTGCCTGTTGTTTTTATCCGCCCGTGGATAGACCCATCTGCCATGTACAGCAGCTGTTGACGCCATTTCTATGGGTCACTCATCCGTGTTCTCGCCCATGCCCATTACTCTCCCCCTCCCTCTCCCAGGAGTGTGGTGCTCCCCTCCCCCCCAAAATAACACCAAGTCCTTTAATGTATTGTTGTTTTTTTGGTGTGTGGTGTTGTTGTTTTTTTTTTTCTTGGTGCAATGCCTCTTGACTGTCAGTTTATGGTTTATTCTGTCATCTCTGTTTTCAACAGGATTGACTCAGTTCTAGGCTAGTGTTTACAGGACTTCCACACTCATTGTGAAGCCCCTCCAGAGTATGTGGGACAGGGTGAAGGGAGAAGTCTTAACTGAACAGAGGAACTTTGTGCTGCTACAGCCTTAAGAAACCTGGACCCACCCGGGGGGGGCCCTGTGGCAGCTGCTCTCTCGTCTCCGCTGTTTACATGTGTGTTTCTTCCCTGATTCAAGTGCACTTTCTTAACTGTGGTGACCTTGTGGTTTTTTGTGAACCAGGTATCTCTATGTTTACATGTTCTCATCCTGCTTAACTTGATGTGAAAGTATTTCTACTTGGAAGTATGTATTTCAGACTTGGCGTATCAATCGATGTGCGTAGAAGTGAGTATCCAAGTGATGTATTTGAGCCCTGGCCGGTTTGGCTCAGTGGATAGAGCATTGGCCCGTGGATCGAAGGGTCCCGGGTTTGAACTCCGGTCAAGGGCACATACCTCGGTTGCCGGCCTGATCCCGGCCTTGGTCTGGGCAAGTGCAGGAGGCAACCAGTCGATGTCTCTCTCTTTCTCTTTCTCTTTCTTTCTTTCTTTCTTTCTTTCTTTTTTTCTTTCTCTCTCTCTCTCTCTCTCTCTCTCTCCTCTCTCTCTCTCTCTCTCTCATCGATGTTTCCTTCTCTCTCTGTCTCTCTCCCCCTCCCTTCCACTCTCTCTAAAAATCAATGGGAAAATGTCCTCAGGTGAGGATGAACAACAACCACAAAAAAGTTATTTATTTGAAAACGTCTCTATAAAGGATATATCGTATGATGTTTATGTAGTAAAGTAAATATTGAGCTGGAAGCTAAAGGTCACAGGCTAACAGAAATTCGCTGTTGTGTGTGAGTGTGAGGTGGTGAATAATTCTTGTGTTCCTTCCACAGGCGTCAGTGGTTAGCATCTGTTGAAAAAAGGCTATTGAGACGGATCTGGCCAAATCTGGCACAGACCCTAAAGGACTTGCTAAATAGGCCGTTGGTTATTTCTGTGGTGGCTCGACTAGCTCACTCTGCTGTTACCAATAAAGAAATGTGTGTTTACAACCATCTCATTTTTCCTTATTACAGCGCAATTCTGGACACAGCTCTCTGTATTCCATATTTTATGTTATCTCTAGACATTCCGCACGAGGGGCTTTGGACAGAAGTTTTCAACATGTCACTGAAAAGCTTTTCAAAGAGCAAATAGAAGAATTTAAAAAAAAATCGAAACCAGTCAGAGTACAAGATTGGAAAGGCAAAAAAATTGAAATCTAGAAATGAACAAAAACGAATTAAATGCAACAGTCATGTCAAATGTTTAGAACACAAATACCCCATGATTAGATTGCATGAACATGTTTTAGAAACTAAAAGCCACAGTTTTCCAGCCTTGATTATAATGAAATTGAAACTCTATGCTGTTTAAAAGACACGGCTAGAATGTAAGAATACAGGAACATTAAAAGCGATAGGATGAAAAAGAAATCAATCCAACAAGGAGGCTGTGACTTCTTATTGACAAAGGGTTTGTTAAGGATAAAAGCATCCCTGGAGATAAATACGGATGGCATATAATTCAGTTAAAATGTGCCAGGAAGATAAAACTACCCCAACTCTGTAGTCATTTAATAACCCAGCATCAGATGCACAAATAAATAATCGGTAAGAATAGAACAATTACAGTGTTTGAGTGAACAATTTTTAAACGTCTTTTCAGTAACAAACAAGGAAAGAATGTGAGGTGAGCACACCGTTTTAACCATTGAGTGGACCTGTCTGAATTCATTGATACTGCTCTCCTCTGGGCTGACGGAGCTGAAAATACGCGTCCCGGGAGATTAGACATCTAACGTATTTGCAGAGCTTCTACCATGTACTTAGCACTCAACAAAGCATGAGTTTAGTTCCCACAACCCCCCATCTCCCCCTGATTGTGTTTTTTCTCTCATCATCCTGATGAGTCCAAGAGGTGAAATTACTTGCTGATACCACTGTGGCCTATGGGTGTAAATTACCTGTAGGTACTCAGTATATTTCCAGGCCACAGACACTGTGATCCCTCACGTACATGGCCACAAGCAGGTGGAGCATGTGACCCTAGCCACCGGAAGCACACCTGCAGTCTCTGAGTAGGGATGGTGTGCCAGGTGGGACAAAGGGGGCCATCACGAAACTCCAGGAGAGTGCGAGAGTCCTGGGCTTTCTCTGTGGGCCGCCAGGCGCAGTATTTCTTGGTCCACTTCGCAGCCTCCCGTATGTTTACGCGGCCTCTCCCCTGTGACATGCCGCCAACGATAAGTTAGTGTTCAGCCGGAACCGGTTTGGCTCAGTGGATAGAGCGTCGGCCTGCGGACTCGGGGGTCCCGGGTTCGATTCTGGTCAAGGGCATGTACGTGGGTTGCGGGCACATCCCCAGTGGGAGATGTGCAGGAGGCAGCTGATCGATGTTTCTCTCTCATCGATGTTTCTGGCTCTCTATCTCTCTCCCTTCCTCTCTGTAAAAAATCAATAAAATATATTTTAAAAAAAAAAGATAAGTTAGTATTCAGCCTGTTTCCCCTGCGACCCTTGCCATAGCCCTTCCCTCTTGATTCCTTCTTATCCAGAGAATTCCCTCACCAGGAGGCCCTGGTTGCCTGGCTGTTACTGGCATGCAGGGTGAGTGCTTCGACGTGAAATCTAAGCGTGTGCCCACCCCCAAGGACTGAGCTGATGCCAAAGGCTCAGTGAGCTTGGAGCGGTGGCTAAGCCGCCAGAGGGGGATTTTTAAACAACCTGAAAAGCTCAGAGAACTCTGTCCTAACGTACGCTACCTGATGTTGTGAAATGTCACGGTTTTTTATTCCCATAGAATCTTGCACCAGATAACGATCATGACGTTCAGGAGGGGCCGTGGGAGCTGGGTTCGTAGAAGATAAAATGTTCAGGCAACAGAATCCTGACTCGGCTTCTCACCAGCCATGCACTCAGGAGCACGTTAGCTCCATCGTCTGCACCTCAGTTTGTTCGTGTGAGAAGTGGGTACAACAGCACGTGCTCTGCAGGGGTGTTGTGAGGATCAAGTATGATGAGGCAAGGAGCTTGAATCCTGTGGTATTGTTGAAAACGGCAGTTTTGAAAGTGGGACTTAGGTATGTTTGTGGAACTGATCAGAGCTGACACAAGAATTGACAGTCCACTACGTTTTTTTTTTTTCTTTTTTTTCTTTTTGGGAACCTTTGCAACTTGAATTAACGTAACATGATTCTTTTATTATTATTTTCATAGAAAGTGGGCTCATTCCCTTTTGGTCATAATTTCAAAGAGGCCCAAGTAATTTCTGCCCCCCCCCCCCGCAAAAGCCATCCAAGTAGAACTAAAATGCTATTCTATTCCTGAAAATATACTACACAACAAAAATGTTTTCTTTGGGATGGATGCCTACATGAGTCAAATAAGAAATAAGATGATGTTTACCAATAGGAAATTTCCTGTCCCTCATCAGCTCGATCAGAAAGAGCTTAATTGATAGGGATGTCACTGACCCCAAGGCTGGGTGACATGTCCCCAGGGCCCATCCATGGAGACAACTGGCCACCCTTGTTGGGGTCAGGAACAAAGGACTCTTCCCCACACACAGAGCTTTGCTCTGAGGGATTCAGAGAGGGTGTGGGCCCTTCTTCCATGAGGACTCATACACTCAGCCCTGGGGTCTGTACAGAAGGTTTGATTCTAACCACATGAAAAATGCCCGGGTGAAGCAAGTCTGTCTCCCACACTCTGACCCATTGACTCATGTCATTTCATCCAGGGACATCTCAGAATTTTTCTCCCATCACCTCTACCCACTTCTCTCACCTCCCACTCTCTACCCCTGGAAACCACCACCAACCTGTCGTCTGTTTCTATGAGTTTGGGTGGTTTTTTTTAGATTGCACATATACATGAGATCATACAGTCTTTGTCTCTAACTTCCTTCCCTTGGCATAAGGCCTCCAGGATCATTCAGGGCTTTACAAATGGCAGGATTGCCTTGCATTTTTTATGGCTTAATAATATTTCATTGTAGGACATAATTTATACCAAAGTATAACCGGTACACACACACACCCGCCCCCCCCACACACACACACCCATGTGATCCGCTTTATGAAAAGTGTTGGAAAAATGTAAAAATAAAGATTAGAGAAAAAAAATCCGAGTAAAAATATTGCTGCATTTTTATACTTTTGAATAAGTCAAAGGGAAGTAATCCTGTCAGCTTGGATCAGGCCCAAACAAGGAGGTCCCTTCTCTTTACTGACAGTGA